CTGAATGGCAAAATTAAAACATGGGTCGAATTGTGGCCGCGATTTATTTTACAGTTGAAATTATTTTTTTAACTTTATTTAGCATTTTTTTTTGAAAGATCACAACAAAATCTACGAGTACTTCAATTTTTATGTTTTTTCATGCATTCTTTTGAGCACGAAATCTCACTGAATTTTAAGTACGTTTTCAGTTGGCTCACACATTGCTGAATGACAAAAATGGAAAATGTTCCAAATTGGCGTGACAATTATTTCGCGGTCTATATGATTTTTTGAAAATGCTATGATATTTTTTCTGTAAATAACACGAACTCATCCATCTATGTTTCTCAAAAGGTCAAATTTTATGCGGATTACTCCAAGCACATAAAATCATCAAAGTTGCCTCTTGAAAACACCTGTTTCGTTGCGCCTGACCTCCCTGTTTTGAGAAGACGGGCCTCAACGCCTGGGTCTGAGGACCTTTTTGCAGTTCACATGCCCTCACTTCTTTTTGGGGTTTGCTTCCACCCGAGGACCGGTCCTTCCCTTTTCTAGAAGTCCCGATTCTAAAAAAACTAATTGTAGGTAGTCCTCAATATCTTGAAGGACCAGTCCCCCAAATCCCCCCCCCCCCCCTAAGAACCCACTTGCATAGTGGTCGCTCGCCTCCAAAAATGTGATACCTTGACACAGACGCCGAAGCCCACTATATCGCAACCTTAGGGCTACAAATCCTTACCCTCCCACTTTACCGATTGTCTACAGCGTGGGCGAGGGGAAGACAACCCTAAGGTAGCCAAAGCAATGAGACTAAGAACGCGCACAAGAGAGAGAAAGAGAGAGAGAGGAAGAGAGGGGGTGGTACCATATATATATAGACTGTCAGTTGGAATCATAGATTTATATATGTATTTTCCTTTATATGTGTAGAATGTAGAGTAATTGATAAGTGAAAAAATAGACAAAAAAAAACAAAATGTTCATCTTGGAGACGTAAATATGTTAACTTTATAAAGAGAGAGAGAGAGAGAGAGAGAGAGAGAGAGAGAGAGAGAGAGAGAGAGAGGCTGAATAACAAAATTAAAATATGGATCAAATTGCGGCCGCGATCTATTTCACAGTTGGAATGATTTTTCTTAATTTATTGAGCATTTTTTCTGCAAAGATCATAACAAAATCTACGAGTACTCAAATTTTATGTATTTTTCACACATTCTTCTGAGCGCGAAAACTCACTGAAATTTGAGTACTTTTTTAGTTCGCAGCCCGTCAGGGGTGCGTTTTATGCCCATGATAAAATTTTTCGTCGTCATTCGTTATACGGTCGTTGGAAGGCTGGAAAAATAAGGCATGGCAGTTTAGGGGGTGGTGACATCTTATTTGAAACTGCAGGACCGGTAGCTGCCCGTGGGACCGCACGGGTTTTTGTCCAGGACCACGTAGGAGGTTGCAGTCCTTTTTCGAAATTGAAAAGGTGCGGGTCCACTTTTCTTGAATAGCAGAGTTCCTCGAATAGAAAAAGTACACGTTGCATTGGAATACAACGTGTACCCTTTCTATTCGGATTTCGAAAAAAAAAAACTCTTGTATTCCAATATAATTACTTATTCTTTTTGTTGGAGGTCAGTGCCTGCCCTTGTGCTCCCCGCCACTGACATGCTGCGTGCTGCAGGTCTCTCTCTCTCTCACTCACACACACACACACACAAACACACACACACACACACACATGCACTCACATAAACATGCTCATACACTTCTGTTCGCTGCCCGTCAGGGTTGCGTTTTCCTCCCTGAGACATTTCAACGTCAATCAAATTTCAACGTCGGTGGTCGTCGGGAGGGTGAACATTTTGAGGTTTTGGGGCCTTGCAAAGGCCAGGACCGTGTAGGACCGGTAGCTACGCGTAGGAGGCCGAGGAGGCCGCAGTCCTTTTTCGAAATTGAAACGGTGCGGATCCACTTTTTTCGAATAGCAGAGTTCCTCGAATAAAAAACGTACACGTTGTATTCGAATACGTGTACACACACATACACGCTCTCTCTCTCTTTCTCACACACACACACACACACACACACACACACACATACACGCACACACGCACTCTCTCCCTCTCTCTCTCTCTCTCACACACACACACACACACGCACATACATTCTCCTGTCTATTGATGGGGAGCGCCACCTGCTGGAAACTGGGTCCAGCGTCCCATGAACATCGTGAATAAAGCACCAGCTGGCACCCCCCCCACCCACACTCTTCGAGTTGTGTATAGCGAACATGACAAAACATACATACAACATAATCACTACCTTACCCTTCCCGAACCGCATAAACAAACGAACTACGGGCTGCGCACCCGTGCCCTCACGGTAAGTCAATTGGCCTACACATGGCTGAGTGGCAAAAATGGAAAATGTGCCGAATTGGTTCAACGATTATTTCAGAGTCTAAATGATGTTTTGAAAATGTTCTAATATTTTTCTTGGAAAGAGCAAGCCCTGATCTATGGATTCTCAGAATTTCAGATTTTTCTGCGGGTTCCTCCGAGCACAGAAAATCGTTGCGCCTAATGTTTTGAGAAGACATGCCTCAACGCGTGGGCCTGATGGCCCTTTTGCAGTTCACATGCCCTCACTTCTTTTTGGGGTCCACTTCCACCCGAAGACCGGTCCTTCCTTTTTCCAAAAGTCCCGGCTCTACCAGAGCTAGCTGTAGGCAGTCCGCAATTTTGCCAAGGACAGGTCCCCCAAATTTTTTGGCCCACTAAGAACCCACTTTGCGTCCTGGTTGCCCGCTGCCAAAAATGCCTTACCTTGACACAAACGCCTAAGCCTTAGGGTTGCGAATTCTTACCCTCCCACTTTACCGATGCCATCCATCCTACTTGTTCACTCCCCAGCCATTCTCTGCTGAAGGCTTCAATTTTCGTTTGGATTTCCGAGGTGTCGTTCAGGAGGGCCAGTTTCTCTACCACAACCTGCCGCCTGGATTGCAAGTCTGTTTATATGTGTGATTTTTTTTGCTCAGTTGTTTCCGGTCCTCCGGAAGAGCTGAAACACTCTTTTTGTCCTAATTGCGCTGCCCCAGGCATCTCCAAACAATTGGGGAAGGGCAGTGGGTTTTCGAGGGACGTAGGGGGAGGTAGTGACCGATTCCTCGTCTTGCGTTCGAAATTCGGAGAGAGACAGAGCGCTGAAGAATGAGAGAGGCCCACAGCCATGCAGAGGTGCACGAGCGGGAGAGGAGAAAGACGGGGGTTTTAACGGTGCGACAGGAGGTGTGTGTGCACGAGAGATTTGCACAGACGAGGTGAGTTCTTCATCCTCCTCTCTCTTCTCTGCTAGCTTTCTTCCTCTTCTCTTTTGTCTCTGTGTTCTTCATCCTCCTCTCTCTTTTCTGCGCGCTTTCTTCCGCTTCTCTTTTGTCTTTGTTCATTATCGCATGGTTATTCCCTCCTGTTTCATATTTGTCGTGCTTATTCAGAGGCATAGGGGGGAGGTTTGCGCGGCGGCAATAGTGGTAGGGGGCAGAGAGGGGGAAGGATGGCGGGGTGGAGGGGGGAAAGGAAGTGGGGAACAGCGTCGAGAGCGCATGAGAGAGGAGGGGGGTTGGGCGAGAAGGGTGGGAATGAAAAATCGTAATAGGTGTACGAGGGCAGAGGGGGTTAAAAGATTGGGCCGCGAAAAACGGCGAGCTATAGAGGTTTAGGGGGTGAAGAGGGTAGAGATACGGTATAGGGTTTGAGGGGGCCGGGAATGAAGAGCAGTTGGGGAAAGCCTCAAGTTGCAGGCGGAGGGGGGGGAAGGGGGGGGAGGTTATGTGGGAGGAGGAAAGAGTCAAAATCGAAGGTATGGCGAACATGATTTGCAGTTGGGGTAGCAGAGAGTGCAGCGTTGTTGCAAGGCGTTCATGATCAACGACCTGGAGGAGGATGGCATGGAGAGAGAGAGAGAGAGAGAGAGAGAGAGAGAGAGAGAGAGAGAGAGAGAGAGAGAGAGAGAGAGAGAGAGAGAGAGAAGTTGTCCGTTGCCTTGCGGTTGCGCCCATCGTTTTCCGGTTCCCTTATGTTCTTTTCTTCTTTGATAGAGAGAGAGTACCACGATCGATGGAAACGTAATGGTGTGAGAGAATGGCTTTGGGCTCGAATGATTGTGCATTTTGGAAAGAGGAGCTAGATGAGCGGGGAGTGGAGGACGAGACATAGGAGAGGGAATGAGAGGGCAGCTTTATTTTCCATTTATAATACGGTATATCCATGTATGTTCTTCCTGGCTCTTCCTGGTTCTTTCTTCCAAATATAATATCTTGATTGCGGGAGGAGGTAGACGGATTTAATGATGAAACGGAAAAAGGTATTCTCTGTCTGTCTCTTTTCTAATCTTTGTTTACACTAGAAGAATCTTTGTTTACACTAGAAGAATCTTTGTTTAAGAAGAGGAGGACGATGTGGGAAGAGGAGCGCAGGAGGTAAACCAGGAGCATGAATGGGATGACCAGCGGGATGACTACCAAGGTGAAGGAGGGGAAGAGAGGCGAGGGAGATGAGAGGGAAGGATGATCCCGGAAGGGAGGGAGGGTGTTCTTTTCCTATTTGTATGTGTTTTGCTTGCCAAGAGGGCCAGAGAGGACTGAAAACGATCAAGAGCAAGAGAGCAAGAGTATTGTGCGCTTGCTGCGCCCACGGGCGGAGGATGACGGTGAGCAGCCGAAACTGCTGCTGCTGCCGTGTGCTCTGCCTGCGGCTGCTGATTACGCGGTTTGTCGTGCACGTTGGCCACATTTATTTGTCTCTATAGTGGGCCGGAGACGCAACTGGTCATTTAAGGTAGTACGGTATAGCAATACTGAGGTTGGTTTGCTCTGTCAACAATATACAGTATTAGACTAACACAGTTCGGTTTTGTCATAACGGCATCCTCCTTGGGAAAATGTAATCACAATTAGTCGATCATAGAAGAATGTAGTGGTCGGTAATGAAGTTAAGTATTATTGACGTCAGAACGGCAGCCTCCTTGGCAGCATCATCCCCCTGGTCATGATCGCCACTTGGTCGGCCTTGTTCTCGCTTCTCAGTCACGGTCAATGTGTGCGCTCTCCCTGGCGCCAGTCCCACGATTGTTATGGACGAATGGCGCGGGTCGATCATGATGGCGCTTTTGTTATTGCTGCTGCGGTTTAGAGATGATGATTATGATGGCGTTGAGGTGATGGTGGATTAGCCGTCATCACTGGCTACCATGTTCTCACAGCAGAGTACACAAAGGCGCGCCAATTGTTTTGTATGCTGGAATTTGCGGGAAAGGGCGGGAATTGGCAGGAGCAAACGGGAACGGGGGGGGAGCTGGCGGCACCTGGCGGTTACTGGCGGGAACTGACGGGGGCGGCTGGGAACTGAGGGGAACTGGCAAGACGGCGGGATCACACGCAATATGGCATGAACACGCACAATATGGCGGGAACGCACACAGTATGGCAAGGGAAAGGACGGGAATCGGCACAAACAGACGGGAACAGGGAGGAACAGGCGGGAGCTGGCGGCAACAAGCGGGAGCTGGCAGTCACTGGCGGGAATTGGCGGGGATGGATGGGAACTGGCGGGAATATAGGGGAACACACAATATGGCGGGATAACACAAACAGTGTGCCGGGAACAAAGACGGGGATGGATGGGAACCGGCGGGAACTGAGGGGAACACACAATATGGCGGGATAACACAAACTGTGCTGTGAACACACACAATATGGTGGGAACGCTCACAATATGCCGGGAAGACACAATATGGCGGGAACATAGTATGGCGGGAACACACGGAACGCAGTTGAGATGGCGGGGACGGCATATGGCGGGAACGCACACAATATGGCGGGAACACACATTATGGCGGGACCTCACAATATGGCGGGAACACACGGATTATGGTGGGGACAGAGACAAGATGGCCGAAGCAGAAACTATGTGGGAAACAAACACAAATAGGCGGGAAGTGGCGGGAACTCACTGTATTGGCGGAAGCTGGCGTTGAAGACCAGTCAGCGAGCGGATTTCGGTGTTGACGCAGCTCTGTGGGTCGCTATAACTCGCTACAACTCCCACGAACTGATCTCTAGAGTTCGTTGCAATCCCCGTTTGCTGACCCTCCGATCGGCCTAGCGATGGTCCTGCAGCCTCATCCCATCATGGGAGGATACACGACTCTTGCTGCTCATCTTCTCGTGTGAGAGGTCGTGGGGATCTTACGAATATGATGCAAGTGCTGTGGTACCTGGGTACTGAATGCTATCTCTGCTAGCTTGACACGTGGATGATCCGCGAGGCAGATTTAGCTCGTGCCTGGCTAGCGCAGAATATCATCAGCGAGTGTCATCTATCTAATCTTTTTCTTCCTTGTACCTGACTATCCAGAGGCTACCCAGTACTATCTACTCAGTACTATGTATACTTCCGTAAAGATCCTAGTGGCACACGGCTGTCCAGGGGCTCAGTGCTATATATACTTTCCGTCAGGATCCTAGTGGCACACGGCTACGTGTAGAGGCTTATCAGGAGCATATACTTTGTCTCTGCCGTGCCGTGCTGAAGGATTGGGCTCTGCATCGTGCCGTCCGTCGCCGTGACTCAGGTGTATCGCTAACTGTGGGCGACGTGGTGGTTCCTTATCCATCAGCCAAATGCATCGTGGGCAGACTGTTGGGGTCCAACGTCCTGATGAGTTGTGACAATTCGCCGAAACAATCGGACGCAGTCATGCCTTTTCTATAGATTTGTGTATAGCGAACATGACCACACACATACCACGAACAGTGGGTGGTCAGGCTTCGGGATGCGATTGCGATCGTTTGTGCGAAGCACAGAGAGGACCGAGTGGAGGAAGGCAATGAGGACAATTAGCATATTAGACAAATAAAAGGAGAAGAGGAACAGAGGCATGAGACACAGGAACCTGCAGCCTTCTCTCTTCGTTCTTTTTCTCTTTTTCTGGTTTGTACCTTTTTGCTTTTTTTTTGGCTTAATAACTGTTGTTACTCTTTTTCCTGTTTCACTTCAAGGTTTCCCGCAATCGTCAAGTCGAGCGCGCAAGTGCTTGCACTGTCGTCTGCTTCCTTGCACGTGGTCGTTAGCCAAACAAACATAGTGCCCGTTCCAAGGAATCGTCGGCCAGCAAACTGCCGTCTTGCTTCTTTTTCTCCCTTCCCTGCCGTCTGCAGGGCAGAGAGATAAGCAGCATGAGAAAGTGTGGCAAGCCAGGGTTTATTTAGGAACTTTAACCTTCCCGCCAAATAGGGCAACAGCAACGAAATGGGTGGTGCCGGTGAACTCATTGAAAGCGCAGGTAAACCTGGTCGATGCCCGATGGTTCCGTTGCGTATTGATACAGCTGCCGGGTTTAGTCAAGTGTATATTGATTGTTTTTGTTTGATTGATTTGATTGGTTGATTGGTTTGATTTGATTGGTTGATTGGTTTGATTTGATTGGTCTGATTGGTTTGCTTGGTTTAGTATGTTGGGGGTAATCTTGTCAGAGACGATGGTGTTTCAGCAACTAGGGGGGTGGGGGAGGGGTGTCAGGGCAGAGTGTTGTCGCGATGACCCCCTTTTATTAACAATGACATGTCCGTCCATTCAGAACCCCTGTGAAGTTTTGTGATGGCCCGCTGTGAAGCTTTTGCGATGGCTCCCTGCGAAAGTGTTGAGACACCCCCTCTGTAGTTTCTATTTCTATGTGCCTTTCATGTTATAGCTTGGGATTGACAACGTTCGATTTCATCTTGTCTCATTTTTGGCAAGTTGCTGCTAATGAATGCTCTGTACGATCTCGATTTTGGAAGTTTTGAGATGGTTCATTAGTTCAGTTTGCAACTGAGGTGACCGATCGACTCTTTGTGCAATGTCGGTCTTGTTGTCCTAGGATGCATTGTATCTTCCTGTGGAGTGATTGTCGTGTCTACCGTCTTCACCAGAATACAACGCACGGTGATTATTGCTGTATCAAGACTCGAAAGTTTCCCCTAATACGGCTATAATAACCGTACGTTGTATTCGGGTGAAGACGGTAGTGCTCTGTCTGTGCTGCTGACAGTATGGAAGTCTGGGGGTCTATCTAGGGGTTTATCCTTTCTTACACGCTGTTTTCGCGCTCTCGCTTGTCATCAATGTGCCATTCTTATTTGAGTGCCCCCAATCTTGCCTGCGTTCTGTCTACAGGTGTGTGGCAAAATTGCAATCTTTTTTCACTTCACTTGGATCCGGTTCAAAGTGAACCTCGTCAGTCTTTCTCTCTCTCTCTCCTTCTCTCTCTCCCTCTCTCCCT